CGGAAGAAGCCGCCTTCCTTCTCCGTTTCCGAGAGGGTGGCACTGCAGCTTCGTCTGCCGCCTCCGGGGGCGCTGCAACCTCTTCGGCCACCACCGGGAGTGCTGCAGTTTCATCGGCCGCCTCTGGGGGCGCTGCCACCTCTTCGGCCACCACTGGGGGCACGGCAGCTTCGTCGGCACTGCAGCCTGGTCGGCCACCTTCGGGGGCGCTGCAGCCTGGTCGGCCACCTTCGGGGGCGCTGCAGCCTGGTCGGCCACCTTCGGGGGCGCTGCAGCCTGGTCGGCCACCTTCGGGGGCGCTGCAGCCTGGTCGGCCACCTTCGGGGGCGCTGCAGCCTGGTCGGCCACCTTCGGGGGCGCTGCAGCCTGGTCGGCCACCTTCGGGGGCGCTGCAGCCTGGTCGGCCACCTTCGGGGGCGCTGCAGCCTGGTCGGCCACCTTCGGGGGCGCTGCAGCCTGGTCGGCCACCTTCGGGGGCGCTGCAGCCTGGTCGGCCACCTTCGGGGGCGCTGCAGCCTGGTCGACAGTCATCTGGTGGCCCTCCTGGGCACACCCGCTGCAGACTGCGACAAGTCCTCAGTGTTCGTCAACAGTTGTGGGAGGGGCCTGTGCAAAGTAATGTCACTTTTCCAAGAATCTGGGAATGGCTTGCTCTGAGAAAGTGCTTATAATTTGTGGGGATTTAAAAAAGAGCACTGGGTGGATTTTTATCCTTTATATGGTGGGTGTGTATACACACTGCTAAGACACATTTAAGTTCAAACACCATGTAAAAGTGAATTATGCATCCAATGTCCCCTTTAACAAATATAACCCTATTTCTAAAGTGTTATCATTGTAATATTTCTGAAGTGAAAAAATATAAACATTTGGATAAACTGTTTTAATTAGCTATATTGACATGGATATATATTTTTTTCAATATCTGAAGTCTTTTGTGCACAAAGTATACCTGAGCTACACTGACTAATGTATTTGCATGTGTTCTAAGCTGCTAACATTGGGGAAGACATTTTACCAACTCTCTCACGAGAGGATATCCGAGGATATCCGAGATCTCTTTCCTGGTCCTGAGCACTTCCTGCGGCGCAAAGCCATTTGGCTTTTGACTCATAAGGAAGAACAGGTAATTAACTTCAAATATTTATTTTGGATATTTTAACCTGCTAGTGGGCATAATTTCAGTACAGATAATTTATATGTAAGTTAGTGTGGTTGAAGAATAACATGTATACATACATGTGAAACACTGTGTGAATAAAATGACAAATTGCTTTATCTGATTTGATTAATGTATATATTTGTATTTTAGGGGCACACCATTCCTGTTGAAGTCCAAGGTTCATCAGCAGATGATGAACATACTGAAAGTTCAAAACAAGATGACCCCAGCACTTCAAAGTTTTTAAAGTTACCCAGCCCAGAATATGTTCTCTTCACTGACAGTGAACTACAACACGTGAGACGGACATGCTTTGAGCAGCAGCGTCTTGGAAAAGAGGGTGACGTCACCTTATCGAAGGAGCTGTTCTGCCGGCTCATCCGAAATACCATGACAAACATGATATCAATTGCAAGAGCGTCTTCAGATGACTACAAATATCCCACTAAACAAGTTATTGCCATGGCAAAACGGTTAGTGGAATACTACCCTATGATGAAAGATAAGTCAACTGGATCTAGGCATGAGTGGGTGAGTGACATAATTTACTAAATTATAAAAAATAAAAAAAAACTTGTTTTGCTGCTAACATTGCTTCAAAACTATTAATTGATACTTTTTTCTATTGTACAGGACACTGTTGCCAAAAAGCTCTTGAAGCGACTTTCAAATATCCAAAGTCCCATGAAGGCCAAACAGCCTCCTTCCAAAACAGCAGGTCAGGACAGATAACCTTCTGCTGCAGTGGCAAGTGACTATGACGCTGATTCCAGTGCATCAACAGTCAATCTGTCACCACCTTCAAGATTAAGCACCCCACGACAAGAAAATGACAACATCGATGAAGCATGTAAGTTCATTAAAATGCTGCGCCGATCGCAAACAACCAACACTTGGTTATTTTAGGCAACTCATAAATCCTATGCAGAACGTGTCCCCACGAAGTGACGCGTCTGGCCACCTTACTTTAAAACGTATTAGTGTTTTTAGTAAATAACAATAGGTACGTTTACATGGACACTTTTTGCTTCCATCAGAATTAATTCATTCTGATTGATGAATCCGAACGTAGTGTTTACATGAACGCTAAATTTAGTGAACGGGCTGATATGTACGTTTATATCTCTCAAGCTTCTGATCGGATTTACTCTGTATATTCATGCAGTGTGCGCATGTCAAAAGAGTTTCCCGCTGTCGTCGCATACTGTTTTAAAAAGTACATGTGATATTTATCTACTTCGGGTCCTAATTTGGCATGAACTGTTGTGCAGTGCTGCTTACTTTATAAAGCAGTAAAAGTGCCCCTTCCCGCAGCCAAAACCAGTCGTCTTAAACAAGGACTGGTGGGATGTGTACTGCTCCACTTCACAGATGCTGAGTGAAAGGGGAGTTTTATAATGACGGGACACTCATTTATGACACTTTATTCACCAGGAAGAACAGCTCGTTCTGCCTGTCATACGTCATTATGCTATTTCTACGTCACTGCGCATGCGCAGTACTTTCCAGTTTCGGTTTTCAATCCGATCAAGTGTTTACATGTCCTCTCGCTCAGATTACAAAAGGAATAAACCAACCCTTACAATCCGATCAAAATTTTAGTCGGATCTGGCCAATTCAATCCAATTGACGTGGTTACATGTGACTTTTTTATTCTGATTGTGCTTCTAGTCCTATTACGATCAGATTATTAGGGTCCATGTAAATGCAGCTAATGTTTGATAATATATGTAAGCCTAATTCTTCCTTATTTCTTAATGTTAAATACATTGTTGAATTGTTGATTTTGTGCGTCTTGTTCAGTAATTATATTGTATGGCTAAATTGTAGCTGATGCTCCAGACAACAGCCTTGACAGCCAGAAAACCCAGGCAAGACATTACAGGACCCTACGAGAAATGTACAAAGCAAAAAAGCCAAACAAAGCTGCTGTAACCCATCTATTAAACCTGGAGTTCCAGGCCAGAAGAAATTTAATTGACTCAAATGCTTTGAAGGAGCAAGACAAACCAACAAAAATTTTGCAAGCATACCCCTGCTTCAAAGAACTGGACCTTGTGGGTACACAGATATAGCATATTTTAGACAGATGTAAAATGTACCGACAAATATCCCATATCCTCTACCTAACTGCAGACAGAAATTTTAATTTTATTTATTTTTATTAAATAATTATTTCAGGCAATGGATGAACTGCGGAGAATCATTGAACCAGACAATTGCAAATACATTTCTGAGGTGAAGGGCAGGTGGGAGACCTTCTACTCCAAGGTTCAGTTTTATGGAGTGATGAAGAAAGTCATGAAGCCTCCGCGGACATTAAATGGAGGTAAAGCTTTATTAAATTTTTTAAATCTGTATAGATCAAGGGTTCTCAATTCTGGCCCTCAAGGTCCAGTTCAGCTCCAAGTCTAATCAAACACACCTGAACAAGCTAATCAGTATTTTCAGGTCCTACTAGAAATCTACAGGCTGGTGAGTTTGATCAAGGTTGGAGCTAAACTCAACTCTAATCTCAAGGGCCAGAGTTGAGGACCCTTGTTATAGACAAGTGGTTTTCAATTCAAAAATGTTTTTCAGTTTTCAGTTGAGAATGTTGTGTAAACAGCCCCTTAATTCAGTTCATTGAGCTCTTTTCTAATTAACTTATGATCTGAATTAGGTCTGTTAACCTGTATGTTAGGGAGACATACAAAATGTCCAGAGCAGTGGGTCTCCAGGATCAGAAACCAGTGATATAGATTATACCCACAGACATAATATCTGATATTGATATAAATCTCTCCCCTCCCCCTCCCCCTCTTAACTAGTTGAACATGCCATTGCTGTTTTTACTGCCCTGCCACTGCTCTTCCCATCTGGCTCAACAGCACCGAAGAAACAGGTCCCAATCAGTGAGGCTCTTTTCCACGTTCTGACAGTGAGTTTTACTTCAGTAGTGATAAATTATTAACATGTGCATACACTCTCAATAAAATACTGGGTTAAAACCATCCTAATTGCACTACATAAAATTGGACATGCAACATAAAAAGTAACTTAAAAGGGATAGTTTACAGAAAAATTTTAATTCTGTCATTTACTTGCCCACAAGTTGTTCCGAACCTATATACCTTTCTTTGTTCTGCCGAACACAAAAGTAAGATATTTTAAAGAATGTTAACCCAACATATCTGGGTCAGCATTCACTTCCATTGTAGGCATAAAATACTATGGAAGTGAATGGTAACCCAGATCTTATTTTGATTTTTGCTGTGTGTATAATCTAAATTCTGTATTTTTTTTATATTTGGTTTTCTAGCCCTCAGAGGATCCAGATACCTACATCCACAGGCGAGCATTTTCCACTCCTGTCTTGCTGGTTGGTGAGGAGAACTGCATGGTGGTTGTAGATACAACTCCAGTTCTAACATTTGACAGAGACTTGCTCCACGAGGGGCCTCTCTACCTCCTGGCCTATTACTATGCATTTCATCTCACGTATCCAAAGTGTCTTGCAACACTCTTGTCTGTGTTGCAAACACAAGTTCTGAGAGATGCCATCCACGAGCAGGATACAACCCCCTCGTACAAAAAGGCCATTCAAGAATGGAGAATGTTTGTTGACTAATTACCGTTTCAAACCTGTGAGGCTGTGAGACGGCTTCAGTGTTGTTTTGTTGTTGTTTTTCCATTTGCACTTGATTTGTGCTGTTAGGAGTTTCCCCCCATTTTCAGTAGTGTTTCATGTCTCTGACATACAATAATGCCAAACATTCGAGTAATTACTGTTTGTAACTTACGGAACTGCTGTTTGAGGTTACAGTGTCGTTCTGTGCCCGTGTTTTTGTTTTTTTAAGGAAAAGTTTTAGTTCGTTTAGTTAGTCAGTCTGTTACGTTTTGATGTTTGTGTTCCTGTAATATTGGTGTTTTGTTGGATGTTTTCTGTCTGAGTTTCAGATTGACTAGGAGTGCTGCCGTCAGTCCTTTTAAAACGCCTCTTCCGCTCTTCGGGCCGGTGGCACTGGTCCAGACTCCCTGTTAGCTGCCAGACCCAGATGTGTTGTTAGTGTTTCTTTTGATTGGTTGGTTATTTTGAAATGTGGTAGTAATGTAGGAGAGACTTGCCCTTTTGTTTAAATCTCATTTCTACTATGCTTTTTTTCGGTTTAGAGTAGATAGGTTAGGTTTATTGTAGTTCTTTTTCTTTTTCTTTGTGGCAGGTTATTTATATTGTTTTACTTTATTAGTTTGGTTTTGTTTGTTATTTTGGGCCTTGGGTCTCTCTGACGAAAAGTACTGCTTTATTATTCATATATAGTTATTTGTTTATTTTAATAATTCGTCACTTAGACCAATTATTTCTGCTTTTGATATTTCCTTGTTTGGACCACGGTCCCTTAAGAGGTAGGGGCTATTATGCATCTTTGTGACACAGTTTGACAGGATCATAGACAGACCAGAAAAAGCTCTAAAGTGCATCACACTCTCAGTTTAAACACGCTCTTATACTGGCGAAAATCTGTTGCCATGCAAAATATACTTGCAAATGTTTTAACACAGCTATTTATACACATAGTATTAGAACTGCATATTGTGTAAATGTATTATTGGGTCAAAAGGAAATGATGAATCACAGATTCTAGTGTGTTTAATCTTTTAGCAAGTCATTTAAAAATGACATGATACCTACAAAATAGTCCATATTTAAAGTGTATAAGTTTTGTGTTCTAGGTAAGAAATGTTACACCAAGTGTTGAAGGCCAGGTAAATAATTTGAAACGTAGGTCTGTCAAATGAGAAAAGTTCAGTTATACACTTAATGTGTAAAAATAAATGTGTTTGTCACAAACCCATCCAAAGAGTTTTCTACTCGTGTGAGAAAAGCACGTGGGTGCATTCATTTTCTAAAGAAACAATACTGGTCATCAGACTATTTAAAGAAAATTAAAGACATTAGACAGCATGCCTTGCTTTACACTGTAAAACCCGACAAGTTAGGTTAACTCAAACCGTTTGAGGAAACCGATTGTCTTAAACCATTTAAGTTTTGAAACCAATACATATGAGTACTGCTAACTTTAAAATATAAGTGCACATGACTCAATATTTATGTGTTGATTTAGTCAATAAATCAGAGTATTGGTAACTTAAAAGATTTAAGTTCCGTAAACAAACCTCATGAGTTCAATGAATAAAATCTAATTGAGTTCAAACAACTTAACTCAGTTCAAATAGCTACTCAAATGGTTTAAGTTCACTGAACTCACATTAATAAAGTTACATAAGACTAAGCAAAAACTAACATTTGTATAAAGCAATGAGGACAGGACAAGTTTATTTTGAATAGTATTTATTGAAATAAAACATTTATTTCACTCAAAGTTTATCAACATGTGGGCTGTGCAGCACAACAAAATACAATATTAAAACAATGTTATCAAAAATAAAATGTTCCATGGAATAAATCAAATTCCTTTAATACTTGAACACAACTGCTCTTTTAACATACTGTGAAAATTCATCTGCACTCTTAACAGTACCGGTAACATGGTGGATTTCATAATACTAATTCAAAAGTTCATTTTTAAGTGCCAGCAATTTTGGCCTAGCCTTCCCGTCATCAAGTTTCAACAGTACCTTTTGTATGAATTCAAAAAAACAATCAGCTTCTTGGGGTAGCTGATGTGAAGGGCATACAGTAGCCCAAAAAGCAGCACCAGTGAACTGACCCAGGATTACTGTATGTGTGT